GCTACCAAAGGCTAGGCCAAAGGCACAGGAGAGCTTTTACTGCAGGGGCACCTGCGTGGAGCATGAGACAGCCTTCAGCTGCAGTGAGCCATGCTGCTGCTGCAGGACAGGCTAACATTCTGAGTCCTGTGGCTGTGGACATAGTGTCCCTGCAGGAACAGCCCTGCATGTCAAGAAGAATTTACCCATATCTGTGGCATGCTTCCTGCCAGCCTGGCTTCCCAGCACAGGTGGGGCTCACTGTAAAGCACTGGGGAAGAGAAGAGGAAGGAGATCTCTCTCTGTTCTCTACCACTTCTGCTGGTTTCCAAGAGCCCTGACATTGAGGGAAGCTGCTCAGATGTGTTCATGTGTATGGTGCATCCTGGAGCAGGTAGAGCAGCTCTCAGGCCTTGTTCAGCTCTCACCTGTTTGCTCCTCAGGCAGACAGGTCTTGTGTGTGACTCATTCTCCCTCACTCTCCTGGTTCTGCTTGTTCTGCTGAACGTCAGAAGCTTGCTCTGGGTAGAGGGAGTTCCACAGCTGAATCACCCTGAGCAGATAAAATAGTTTGAGAGGAATGGGCTATCAATAGCTGTGTCCACCCACAGGAGCAGGAGAACTGCAGAGAGTCCCAATAATATCCATGGCAGTTGTTAGGGGGAGGTGATGCCAGCTTCACAGTGAGGAAGAGAGGCTGAAGCAGGCTAAGCTGCAGTGTGTGCCCAGCAGTTTGGGGATTACTGTGGGAGACAGATGTTGCAGAACACTTGACACAGATCCAGGGTTGGTGTTCTGTCCAATTTTTAAGCCAGTGTGTCCACTGGACCAGTGAGTGGGAGGTGGCTGTGGTCAGGGAAGGTGGGTAAGCAAGGGGTTTAACTGTGGTCATGCAGGACTTCAGGAACTTTTTTCTAATCCTCAAAACTCTAGATTGCAAACCACACGGGATACATCAAGGTGGACTGGAACCTAGTACAACGGGACATGAACAAAGCCAAGCAGCAGCTGAAATTTCACACCAGTGGTAATCAAATGCCTCCAGAAGTGAAAAGCAGAGTGGATGAGGTGAGACAGCTCTCCCAGGGCATGTGCTGGAGGGACAGCAGAAAACAGGATTGATTCTTGAGCTGTTGTGGATGTTCAGTTGTGCAAATACAAGGAGGGGATATTTGGATGACAGCAAAATGGGAGAGATGACAAAAGCTGTGGATGTTGCCTGCCTAGAGTTTAGGGAGACACAATTTCCCACAGCATTCTCCTGGAGGAGCTGGCTGCTCGTGGCTAAGCAGGATGATGGTCTGGCTGTGTGCTGGTGCAGTTAGGGAGGGGAGGTCATTAGGTAGGAAGTTTTCCCAAATCTGAGCAGTGGTATCTCTGTGAGCATCACTTGCCTCAAGAACAGCCTGAGGGATTTCTTCTTAGCAGGAGGGTCAGTGGGTGGCTTGATGTTGTTGAACACTGTTGTCTCTTTTCACCCCTGCTTAGGTGGTCATATTTCTGAAGAAGAATGTTATCTTGACTGGAGGGTTTGCTGGAGGATTCCTGCTTGGAATGGCATCCTAGAAGCTGCACTCTCATGCCCAACTTCCCCTCCCCTACTGCTGTTATCTCTCACTTAGAAGTCAAAGGATGTTGCCAACAGGCTCAGTCCCGTCTGCTCACAGGTTCAGCCCTTATTTCTTACAACACTGCTTCTGATTTCCACCTTTTTCTTCTGTCTGGGCTGTTAGTGTGCTGGGGTTGGTCTGGAAGCTTACAACTCTCAGTGTATCATGATTTCCCACCAAGTACACCCAGTCTCAAATATTCTGATGAGTTTCTACTTCATAAAAATGTAGCAGCAGAGAAACTTTTAAATGTGCTTCTTCCAGGTGCTCAGGACTGTTACATGTACCTTTGTCTGCCAGTATATGTGTCAAACTCTTCACCACTCTCTATGTGTCAGCTCTTCATCGTGGTTTAGCTTTCAGTATTTCTGCCCTGGTACCTGGAACACCTCTGCTTCCCTCTGCACAGAGGTGGTCTGTGGAATCCAAAATGTGGTTGACTATCCTGGGGTGGGTGCAGAAGTGTCAAAGGACAGCCTGAGCTGTGTCCAGGACAGGGGAATATGGATTTTCCTGCCCTCCCCTGCTATTTCATTGCACATAGGTGGCCATTTGGCTTTGTCTCTGGTGGTATCCTTCCCCATACTGAAATTGCAGCACTGGTACTGCTGATGGAAACTGAGCACTGAGGCTGATTCTCCAGGCCCTTTCCTCATGATGTGTTCTGAAAGTCACCAAGTTGTGTGCTGTAGAACCACCTGAAGGCTCAGCCTTTGAGGCTCTCCTGGCTGTGGCAGATGGGGGCATTTCAGCTGTGCAACTTACTGTAAAACACTCTGGGCCTCTGGCTGGGGTTTCCATGTCTACCACAACCTTCTCTGGTCACTTTGGTATTGGTGATGCTCCTCGAGCTGTAACCATGTGGGACAGGATTGTAGACAGGAAATACATCCCTGCTTAGGGTACACTGTACTGGTCCAGGTCCCTGTTGCCAGCTGTACTGGAGAAAGGAGGATGGTGTGAAATCTGGAGTGCAGTCCTTTACTTGCCTCTGAAGAGCACAAATTCTTTCTCCCTGGTCTCTGCAAGCAACTGAAATGACAAAACTTTTGTGAAAATCAGACCACACTCTTGTGAGAGCGGTTCATTTGCATATTTCTGCCTTAGTTATGTTCCTTCCTTCTTTGTGTTTGCCATTTCCACAAGAAAAGTTGTTTGCTTAATTCCATCAGCTGCAGCCCTTCTCCTGCAGGAGATGAGTAGCCCAGGTACAGAGCTCAGCTGTTTTTGGACAGTCTGACTCAGTGCAGTTGTGTGCAGTACAAACATACATCCCCCAGAGGTATTCTGCAAGCTTAGAGACTTGTCTGACAATGTGGTGATGTCTTCCAGCAGGTGTAGGAAGGAGTTCTTGCCCAGAATGTGGGATTTTATATGAAAGTCAGCTCATCTTTCAATGGGAAACATGGTAGGGAACAATGACACTCTGCGTGGGTGGTTTGCAGCACCTGGCTCAGCAGCTGCACCCCATTTCCAGTGCTGTGCAAAGGCTTTGTGATCTGCTGCTCTCAGTATGGCTGAAAAGGGGATCTTTCACTGAGAGCTTCTGGTAGAGCTGAAATGGTGGGTTCTTCCACCAGAGGGTTTGGAATGAGCACTTGCAGTTGGTAGTTTTGTTTCAGCTCTGCTGATTGAAGTGTCCATATAGCACCACATTGATTAAGCTGAGGTTTTCCTCACCTTCAGGATCTGAAAAGAGGCTGCAGGTAATGAGGAGATAGAAGCTGCTGTCTTTGCTCCTGTCCTGCCATACATGGCCACGGAGAATGAAGGAGCAGCTGGGCTCACATCCTTTAACAATGGCCTTCCTAAAGGCCATCCTGGACTGCAGGAGTGATGGAATGTAGCAAACAGGTCTTAAATAAATTGGTGTTTAGCAGTTACAGATGGTGGTGGGATTTTTTTGGGATTTGGTTTGCTTTTCTGTAGGATCTGCAGACATGAACATGCATAAATAGATACATTGGTCTTGCAGGGTATCTCTTGTTCTTGTAGGACAACAGCATTGCTGCTCTTTGGTTGAGTGGGCTACAGAACCCAACTTCTTCTGAGATGCACTGATCTCCACAAAGCTGTCTCCAACAACAAAGCTCAAAGCAAATCATTAACAGACCTTAGGGATGTTTTTCAGGCTCATGTAAGTCTCTGCTTCTGCCCAGCCCTAGGTGGGGCAAGTTCTGCTCAAGTCCCAGTTTGCTGCTGTGGAGAGAAATGGCCCAGAGAGGGAGCTAAAATGCTGCTGAAAGGGGAAACAACAGGTTTTTGCTGAGTTTGGTGTAAATGTAGGCAGAGAATGGACAAGGACATGTGGCAGAGTTTTCTGCTGCGCTGGTGTTGGGCTCATGGCTGACACTGTTTGATGCTGTGGGGCAACACTGGAAGCTTTGATGCTGGATCACTCTCTGTGGGGATGCATTTTCATTGGTGCAGGTGCCAAGATGGGGTGTCCCTTCCCCTCCCCACTCCTGCTCCTTTCAGTCTTGTTTCAACAACTTCTGACATCTGTTACACTATGAGAAGATTTCAAACACATTAGGCTTTTGAAGTGGTTTTATATATTGTATGTAAATGCTTGTTGAAGTGATATTTTATTAAACAGTTTTGCTCTAAATGCTTCTCTGTGTGAGGTCTGTTGGCTTCCTGGGAACCAGCACTTTCCTGTCTCACTGTGACTGAGGGAAGTACCTACAGCCAGACCAGCAGCAGGAGTGTAGCAGGCAGCACTTGGGGACATGGGTGAGTGGTCAATTGGCACTGCTGGGGGAATGGCTGGACTCGATCTTAAAGGTCTGTTCCAACATGAATGAGTGTATGAGGGCACCAGCCTCCCCTCATCCATGCAGGTAACCTGGGCTATCTTAATAAATCCCTCTTCCTGATCATCCTGGCAGCAATCACCCATATTCCCCAGAAGTGGGGTGCTGCTAGGGCAGGAAGTGGGTCTGTAGCCAGCCTGGGTTGCCTCTGCTGAGCAAATTTGTTCCACCCAACTTCAAATGGGAATGGAGACAAGGCTATTTCTTTTTGATAGGTGCAACAAAAGCCTAAATATATATATATATATATATATATATTTTATAATCTATTAAAGACTTTCTTTCCACTGTTCCTGCTCAGATAGGACAAAAGAAAAAAATTAGCTACTTGTCAGTGTTTGAGGTGGTTCACAACATTGTCATCACTTTTCCCTACTTTACAGGGACACTAAACCCCCTGTTTTGTCTTAAGGGTTTTTTCTTGGGGGTGAGGGCAGTGGGGAGGGGAAGACAACCCCTAAATTACTCTGATCTTCAGCCCCAGTTACAAAAATATCAAGCAGCTTCTATTTAAGCATGATCTCACATGACTCTGGGCTGTGAACGGCACCCAAGACGCCCGGCTTGCAGCCCAACAAACAACCAGAGACCACAATTTGTTCCAGTTGTTTATTTTGTACCATGGTATTTCAGAGCAGTGAATGCAGATGGTTTGCTCTTCTAGGCTTCAGTACACACAACTATTGTGCCTAGACCTCAGTGGTTTATAGAAGCTCTATTTCATTAGTAAGTTGTACTTGATCACAGCACAAAAGTCCTTTACGGCTAGATCTAATACAGAGTTAGGGCTAGTGGGTTGGGAGCCTGATATTTGGGTGCCTGGACTCCTGCTACAGGCAACGCTGAAGGGTGGTGCAGGAACCTATCTATGAGCTCTTCCTACAGGTCACAGGAAATTCTGCTGCATGCCCGAGAGCTTCTGGAAAGCAATCTCTCCTGGGGTCCAGACACAGCCAGCTGGGGAGTGAGTCTGGAATGCTGTATGGAAAATTACTGCCTAAAACTGCTTGTTCAGTAAGCAGCACCTAAGTCAGTTCTTGGATCTAGCCCAGGGCTCTGTGAGAGGCCTTTGGGTATCAGCAGTTTTAACTAGACTTGGATTCAAAGCATATTGCTTAAAGGTGTTCAATTAGACATAAATTTATAAATTTTGTATCAACAGTCAAATCTTTCAAATGAATATTGCTTTTTTAAAAAAATATCCTATCCCTGTAGCAATCCCTGAAATTATATTCCTGTAACATCATTATCATGCAAATAGCAGCGTGTAGGCAATTCAAATATAAAATAAACAACTCTGTCCAGTGGAAAAGTGAGGCACTTAGGCAAAGTGACTTGTAGTCACTCATGATCTATACAAGACTTAGGAACAATCATCAGACCTGATTCCCATTCTTGAGCTTGAACCACTGGACAGGCAAAAGTTGTCTGGAACTACTGCATGGTGGCAGCAATACCTATGTTGTATCAAGATGGGTTTGTTTTGTGTTTAAACTCACTCTTCTGAGCTCATTTCCTGTACCTCTCGCTCCATAAGCCAGAATAACTCGGTTCCAATTCTCCATTTTTAGAGCAAGGATGGATTAGAGTAAGGTAAGCATCCTAAAAACATCAAGTTGACATTTCACAGGTGTGATGCAGAGGCAACATAGATTATGTTTTCATACAGAAAATAAAGTTTGTTAACCAGGCCATATGTTGGTACTGTGTAATGCTTTTTGGTGTGCTGAACGGTGTGTTCCAGGAGCAATCTGGCTTTTCTGAAAGTCTAAAGAAGGCTTGAAAAAACACACACGAGCTCTTCAAGTGAGTCCATGCTCCAGCAGCTGCTGGAGCTGCATTGTGTTACTGAGGTGGTGGGGAAATTCCTTTTGAAGTCAACTTAGCCTTTTCTCTCTCCCTTTCTTCTCTCTCAAACCCTGAACAACAGACAGATCTGCCCTTGGTGTACCGAGCGCAGCATTTCCGCATCTCCTGAAGCGCAGCTTCACACTTGGACTCCAGGTAGTTGTTTGCTGGAAAACAAGAAGGAGACACCAGGTCTGCAGAGAGGAACAGGCTTTGTTCCCTGAGGGAGCACACCTAGCCCAGCTCTTCAGCTGCTTACAAGCTTCTATCATTTTCTTGCTCACAAAAACCTCTCTTTAGTTGCAGCTACATAAAGCTGTGGCCAAAGGCTGTCAGAGAGGAGCCCTGCAAGAAGAAACTCAGTCTGGTTTGAGTTAAGAACCACCTGCCTGTCTGCCCAGAAACACAGGGCATGCACAGCTACCTCCTCTGCCTTGGATGAGCTCTGCAACCATGACACAACTGCACTCACACCCATTCTGACTTTTAAAATATTAAAAGAAGCAACAGCAGCATAATGTGAGACACACAGCACCCGTGGAGAGCCCAGAAAGCAGCAGTGAACACCTTCTGGTTAATGAGCAAACCACACTGCTGTGATCATTGGGCTATGAATTCCCTGGCTGGGTTAGTGAGTGAGGTGTGATACAAACACAGGGATCACCCCTGAGAAAAAGGTTGTGGTGATTTCTGCAAGCTGGCAGCCCAAAAGGTATGGCAGACCCTTGCAGAGGAGAGCTGACCTCTCACTGCCATAACCTGCAGTTGATGAGTACTCCAAGGCTCTCCTAACTGTCCCTCTGCCTTTGCATCTTTGTTTCTAAAACTAGCTACATACAGGCACACCATCATCTGTCAAGGATGCATTGCTGAAAGTCACACACAGATAGGAAAACACAAAAGAGATTTACAGCAGGCATTCAGTCTCTCAGGGGAAGCAGCAAGATCTTTTGGAACAATAAGTTTTGAGAAGTCAGCATCTCCCAAAGGTCCAGCTCCCACCCTCCATCTCACACACTGGGTACATTCCTCAGTTAAGGCTCTGTACTTTAATTAAAGAGGAAAATTGCTTTGCTCTGTGTCAACTCAGCTGCTTCATCTGTACACTTCAGACACCTCCACAGCACAATACATGAACAGCAGCAGTGACAGTGACGTGTACATGCAGCAAAGAGTTCTCTGCCAACACTTAACCATTCAGATCAAAACTGTACACAAACCTACACAGGAAAGCACCTGGAATAACTTCCACAAATGTTATAAAAAGAACATTGTCACAGATGGGACCAAAACAGGGTCAACCATCAGCTTTTAACTGTAGTACATGGAGAGAAGGTAGTCCTTCATGGGAGAATGCTCCAAACCATGAGGACATTAAAGGTTGTCTCCAGGCAATTGCTGGGGACATGAAGACCATCTCACACCTCGAGGACAGATCACCTAACCTGTTCCTGACAGAATTCTGTCTCACCTCTCTTGAAACACCCCTGGAGCACCTCTGCAGTCTTCTCATGCAATCCACTGACTCCCTCACTAACCACACTGTAAGAGAGCTTATTATAAAGTCTAGCTCTCCCTGCCCATGGCTGAATCCCAAAAATACACGCGGGATCTCACTGCCAGCACGGAGAACACTATAAACACATTACTGTTACTAATGCTCTGCTTTATACTAATGATGTCTCATTATTTACAATTAATAACAAAGCAATTCTACTAAAATCAGATGTTACAATTTTGTTCATTTTGCAACCAGGCAATGCTAACATGCTTTGTCCCTTCTCAACATGAAAGGACAAGGTTAAGTTAAAAGAATTAAGTTCCACCGAAAATCAAGACACCAAAGACAAAGTGACACTTGGTACCTTGCAAGCATTTCTGTATTTCACAGGCTTGTTTCTGGCAGGGATCCTTCCGGGACATGTTCAGGAACTAAAATGATATGAAAATGTTACTGTAGATCAGGGTTCTTTACAGGGTGTAGGGGAAAGACAGTGTCCTACAGCCACATCTTTCAAGAGCTCCCAATCTCCCCCACTGTCATCATTCAGAAAACATCTACTGCTGCTTGCAGGTGCCTGCCAACACACACAAGAACTCTCTGTGTCTGGCTAAAATGTGATGATGGGGACAATGAATAGAGGAAGTTTCATGTCACTAAGTTTAAAAGCCTTTTTCTTTTCTCTAGTTAAAATGTATCCTTTTTCCCTTGGATATACAGAAATTCCAGAAAATATTCAAATTAACACAGCTGACTAAATTTTAAGTTTTCTATCTCTAGACCTTATACTGAGACACATATTTATGTGAAATCCACCTCTGTAAGCTTTACACAACCAAGGATTTGGTGGCACATCATGGAACCACAGCTGGAGAAGGCATTTAAAAAAGTAATCAACCAAACAACTCAGTTGTGTATATGCCATAAAGCAACAAGAAGGGCTCTTTTCATTTTATTTCAGGAGAAAGTCTCTTGGAAATCCTCTCTCTCTGTCCAAAAAAACCCTCAATCAGACTGGAGGACAGCTCCATCTTGTTCAAATCCATCGGAAAAGGATTTCAGACACTCAAGCTGATTTTTCTGTAGCAGTCACCTGTAACTGTGTCAGTGTAAGAACAAAAGCCAAGCAAAAGCTGGTGGTTGAATGGGAGACCTCTAAGGAAAGCACCAGTGTCACTGAAAGTGGTGGTGAGACTGAACCCTCTGAGCCACAGTTCAGCCTCTGCTCAGAGCTGGGTGCTGCTGCCTTTCCAGTTTCTGACAAGTCATCAGCCCACAGCAGTTTCCAGTATCATTAGGGCATTTTTGCAGCATCCTGGCCAAATTCCATTTGGGGCAACTACATTCTGCCTACCTAGAACTCCCCCTGATGTTTCCCTTGGTCACAATACTCCTCTTCACTGCCTGTCCTAAACTCTTGTGTGATGCTGCTGTGTGTTGTTTAACTGCTTCCACCTCAAAGGTGGCTGCATTTCAGTGGAGAGAGAACCTTTTATTGTACAAAACAGACAATGGCATCTTCCTAGAGCCACTGCTCCTGAAAGACAAAAATTCATAGTAAAGAAAGACTGGGAGTAAACAGTGCACAGTATAAAGCAGGGGTAATGTCTGCACATACCAGATTAATCCCCAGGCACGAGTTTAAGCAGCAGTTCTTCAACACCATCAAGCTGTAAGTGACAAGGAAAAGTTCAATACGTCTACAGTTACTGCGGTTGAGCTAACGGACTTCAACAAAGTAACAGTCCTTTGCCGTCCCTCAAGGATCTCAAATGACTTCACAAACAGGAATGACTATGGTCTATTGTTGCCACCATCCTTACCATGAGATGGTGCTCTATCTCCCAAACGCGAGAGTTACTATCCCTGTACTGCTCACCCTGGGACAGCTGCCACATGTGAGGCAGCCGGGATGGGGGGAGCTGGCTGGGTCGCAGCGCCTCACCCAGGGGAACCTGAACTCTTTGGATCCGAGCCCTCAGCATACCTTCCTCCTGGGGGAAAGTAACAAACAGAGCAGGCAGTTACTGGCAGAGGCACCTGAAACAGCAAAGCCACAACCACGGGGAAGCTCAAAGCGCACACTTGCCTCTTCTGCGGCCACGAGCCAGGTTTTGCGGTGCTCATCGCAGTAAACCCCCACGCGGCGCACCCAGAGGCGCACGGGGGGCGCGGCAGCCTCCCCTCCCTGTGCCATCCCGCGGGCACATTCACGGACACGGCTCCCGGACCTGGCAGCCAGGCGGTGTCTGACTCGTCGGATGAGATGCTACGTGCAGAAATGTCCCTAAAAGTCAGCTCGGGAGGCTGAGGCGGTGCCTAAGGCAGCGGAAACGTCAGGCCAAGTCGTACACCGGGACACGCGTGCTGGGCGGCATTGGTAAGGCATTCTGGGGCAAAAGGTGCTATTGGTACAAAGTTAAACCCTGTGAGTATTGGCTTTGCTCATTCCACTAACAGTCCTATTAACAGTCTTTGTGTAAAACGAGGGGGAAAAAAGAGGTGGTCTAAATCCCAAAAGCAAAACTTGTGACCAGCAGTGAGGTGAGCTCAACAGGAACGAAGATCACTCTGGAGACAAAGCACAGAGCTCGGTGTGCAGGACTCTCATCTTTGGAGCTCGCTGAGCTGGCGGGGTGCGGGATCCTTTGTCTCATCTCTCAGGGGTGGCAGCACTGTCCATTCACACCCAAACTCCTCGGGAGCAGCACTCAGGACTGCGTCACGCGGCTTTTGGCTGGTCACAGAGAGCCACCAACACCGGCGGAGGAGCTTGGGGCATTGAGGTGGTTCCTGCTACTGTAACTTTTGTTTAACAGCACCTCTATCTGTGTGCCAGTTAGATCAAGCTGAGCCATTAGCAAATGGAGGTCAGGGGATATGATTCTCTTTGAACCCTAGAAGAGGTAATCAAAATGGTACAGACAGTCTTCATCCTTTATCTAGGTGTAAAGTAGAACAAAGTTAAGCTGTAACACATACAACATCCTGCTGCTATGAAGCAGATGAAATATTCTTTATCCCAGTGAAACACAGTGGTCTTCTGACAACTTGTAAGGTTATAAGGCATATTTCAAACAGGAGCAAGAAAATCTGGGTACAAAATAAAGGAGTAAAAGTCAGGGAGAGATAAATATAAATTGCTATACATTAGGGTGCGTATATAACAGAAAATAGTCTTCCATGATGCCTTCCATATCTTACATCAGTGTTTCTCTACCTTTTTGAGGCAAAGGAGCACTCAGCCTTTTTGAGAACAAAACACCAACCACGGATCAGCCTGAACAGCACCATCACAAAGAAAACTTTGAGTGTTCTTTTATTACTTCTATTTTTCACCCATTCTGTTTGTTTCCTTGCTTGATGTGCAGGGATGTGCACGTGCCCTACACAAAGCACCACTGTTCTGGCTGCCATCCTGTGACAAGGGACAGGCATTCCAAGGAATGCCCCACCAGCTGGATCACTGGCATTTAAAGGAATGTGACTGCAGTCTGACAAGCCCCACAAGGCCTTCAGGAATTAAGGTTAATGGGACATTACTGTAATTCTTTTCCTCTCTGCTTTAACCTAAGCTACATTACAAATTTAAACCCCTGTGTGGAACTCTGTCCAACAATGAAATGCAGCAGTTGCCACTGATCACTTTCAGTCAGCTGAATATAATCACCCCAGATGGAATTCGGCCAGGACACTCTCCTACTCTGCAGTAAACTGCAAAAAGTTCCATCATGATAAGAAATGCCCAAGAACTTGCTTTTATTCCATTCAAAACTGGAATTTTTATAGGTCATCATCCCCAGAACCAGAAGGCTCAAGACTGGCTCCAGTAATAGAAAAATATGTCTCAGTAAGTGAGCTGTGTTTCCTACTGTAGGTAAGCTCTCCTGGAAGGTCTCCTATGCACACAGTGCCCTGGTTCAGCCTGGCTGAACTACAGGTGGCAGGACTAAAGCAAACATGCATGTTTGTGTTCATGGTGAGTGGAGATGGCAGCAATGACAGACCCAGGACAACAGAGCAAGGTCTCATGCAGAGGCCACTGTGCAGAATGGGCAGAGGTTAATGTGTGTTTTCACCCTTTGCCCCACTGATTTGCCCCAAGTTTCCCCAGAACTGCAAAGCTGAAAGGCTCAGTCTGGCCTGTGGAGGTGCCCAGGTAGTGCCACATGGAAAATCCTGAGGTCAGGCAAAACCGTCGATTGGGGTTGGGGTGGGGCAGGAATGGGGCTGGAGGTGGGGCAGGTGTCTGCAGCACCCAAACACACAAAGAAACTGGAGATTCCACAAGCACACGCTCAGACAGCGCACCTGAAAACATACAGTGTCTTATTGCTGCAGGTTTGATTAGAAAGCAAAAACAAAGCCTGAAGGAAGACATGGGTGGAAGGAGGAGAGAGCTTACTTATACTTTAAACAAGTTTTAAACCCAAGTTCTTACACTGCTTGCTTCATAACCTATCAAAAAAAACCAACACAACCAACAAAAGCCCCAACAGCATAAATTTGCAGAATTGCAGCATCATCCTTTGAGACTTTAACATTCCCATCAACATAGCTGTAGAAGTGCTGTTTTGGGGAGATTCAGAGCCCAGTCCCCACAGACAGGAATAATATTGGCAGATGTTCTGTCCACCTTAGCATCAACCTTAGATGTTTAACGCTGTTCTGGGACCTGGATGGATTTCTGGGCACAATACATGGACAAATGTCAAAATGGCCAGGAGGAGGAATGCAGCTTGTAGTCACAATTTATTTGGTTTTAGGTTGGGTACATTAAAATATTTTATGGAAACAGTGATAGAAATTGCTCCAGATGCTGCCTGGACTACCCCAGAGCTGGAGGCCAGTGTGCTGAATAAACTCCACCCTTTATCACCTTCTGTTCTAAAAAACAACTGGGAGTTCAGCTGCCATTTAGGCCCCAAGGAAAAGCACTGCTGAGGCTCAGCAGTGCTGTGCTGACACAGCTATAGCCCCAAAGCAAGGCTGGCCAGCCTGGCCTTCTGCTGGGGCACGAGAGCTGCCCTGGCACCTCAGGGCTACAAGGGTGCTGAGCCTTCCCCAAAAACCCAGCCCAGCTCTGGCAACAACTCGGGGATCTGATGATCTGGTGACTTAAGGGCACTCTAAAGCTTCTTCTTGGGGGTTTGGGCTCTACCCTGCCTGGAGCGAGCCCCTGAGGCTGCACGCTGCGCTCTGCCCGACTACTGAGGGGTAGCGGATGCTCACCGACCAGCCGGGCTGTCCAGCAGCGCGGGGAGGGCAGGCCGAGCTTTGGTGGGATCTAAAACAACAGGAAGACAAAGAGATGGCCGTAATGCGGGGGGAGGCAGGCAGAGAGGGCGAGGGAGGGGACGCAGGAGCGGGCGGAGGAGCAGAAGCAGCGCGGCCGGGCCGGGCCGGGCCGGCGGGGTGGGGGGGGTGTGGCGCGGCCATCGGACGGGCCCGGCCGTGGCGTGGCGGGGCGGGCGGGAGGAGGGCGCAGCACACCGGCACAGCCACCCGTGCCCGGGCCGGGCCCGCGGGGTGGGCGGGCGGCCCCGGTGCGAGGCGGCCCCGGTGCGAGGCGGCCCCGCCGTGACCTACCTGCACCGCGCCGCCACCGCCGCGCCGCGTGCGCCGCGCTCTGCCGTCCCCCGCCCCCCGCACCCGCCGCCTGCCCGCGCCTGCCCGCAGGCCCCGCAGGCCGGGCCCGGGCCCGGGGCCAGCCGAGTCGGGCTAAGCCGGACCGGGCCGGGCCGTCCCCCTCAGGCCCGGCCCCGCCATCCCCCGCCGCTCGCCGAGGGCCTCGGCCGCCGGGCGGAACCCCCGCGCTGCCGCTCCCGTGGGCGGCACGGCCCTTCCGCCGCGCCGCACCGCTCCCCGGCCGGAGGCCGCGCCGATTGGCTGGGAGGGCCCGCGGGTGCCGCTGCTATTGGTCCATGCGCCGAGGGGGCGGGGCGAGCGGCGGGCGGGCAGGGCGGCAAGATGGCGGTGCAGGCGGTGCACCTGGAGGCGGACGCGTTCTTGGTGTGCCTGAACCACGCGCTGAGCACCGAGAAGGAGGAGGTCATGGGGCTCTGCATCGGAGAGGTACCGCCCGCGGAGGGGCGGCCCCGGGGAGGGGCGGGTGGCGGCGCTGCCTCTGCGGGTCGTGGCCCACGCGGGGCGCGGACCGTGACCCCCGGCGCCGCGCACGGAGCGGCCCCGGCGCCCCTCTCGTCTGCAGCGCCGGCAGCCGCCAGCGCGTCGGTCAGCTCTGAGAGACTCGGAACTGAGTCAGGAAAGCTTCCTATGGCCAGAGCCCCGCGGTGCGCACCTGTGCCCCGTGGCGCTCGGAGCAGGCGGCCGTGCCCTGCGGGCTGTGCTTTCTTCAGCAGAGCAATCACCGATTTCCCCTCTGTGTCCTTAGGTGGACACCAGCCGAATCGTCCACATCCATTCTGTGATAATCCTGCGGCGCTCGGACAAGAGGAAAGACCGTGTGGAGATCTCACCAGAGCAGCTTTCAGCTGCTTCCACTGAAGCAGAGATATCCTTCAGCAGAGGCAGCAGCAGCTCGCCAGTGAAGTGCTTAACCTCGGAGCTCTTCTCACGGGCTGTATTTTAGGCCTGCAGTTGGCTTGAGGCTGTCAGCTGCTCCCTCCTGCAGTTGCTCAGCTGGGAGGGCTGTGCTGGCTGTGGGCTGTTGCCTTTCCCCGGAGTCTTTGTTGGTTCCAGTCCTTGCAGTGGAGTTGTGTTATAAGTTTTTTATCATTGTTTTGTCTTTGGTCACAGGTAGAACTGCAGTGTGTTTATGGAGGGGGGTGGCAGTTCAGCAGGGAGGCTGAGTGGAAGAGGAAAGGTCAGCAAGGCTGCAGCTGCTGCACTGGGGAGCCTCTTCCCAACACACTCTCAGGGATGCTGCTTTGGACAGCTGCTGAAACGTTGTTTGCTGCCACATGCAAACAAAATCCAGTTGCTTCTGCAGCGGTGACTCCTGATGGTGCTGGGGAAGAGGCTCCCATCAGCTCCCTGCTCTGTTTCTTACCACTCCTCCAAAGGGATCTGGAATTCTGTTGACTCATAGGAAGCCCTTTTAAAACTCTGCTGTTTTCCCTTGTACATACAGCCCTTTGTTATCCCAAAAGCTCCTTGACCCCCACACAGGTTGGCTGAGATGACAGGACGTCCCATGAGGGTGGTGGGCTGGTACCACTCCCACCCCCACATCACCGTGTGGCCGTCACACGTTGGTAAGAGCAGCCCTGGGCTGGGCTCTGGGGGAAACTCCAGCTGCTGGTCCTGGCACTGGAGCTCCAGAGCTGCACATTCCAACAGCTCTGGGTCTGAAATGTTCCCTGGTTGTCTGGGTGGGCTGCAGGGGCCCCTGCCAGTGTCGCCCCATTCCTGTGTGGGCTCTCCAAGGACTCAGACGTGACCCAGGAGTCACAGATCAGCCACTGCTGGTACTGCTGTTCTCCAGATGGAAAAAACAGACCTTGGGTGTGGGGAACAGCAAAAAAGCTGTGGGAATCCTGGGCCTGCTGTGATGATTTCTGATATCTGTGAGTGTTGATGCATAGGTGAAAACTTTCATAAAAGAAGTACCTGAGTACCTTATATGTGTTGGACTTCCTGGTGATCTGTAGCAGCAGGCTGGCTGTGAGATAATTTCTTGGTTTTGTGAGCTCAACTTCTATTTTTAAGATTTGCTATTTAATTAGATTTTAAATTGATTAGGTTCTTTATTTAAACTCAATTCACCCAGAATGAGGATATAAACATAAAGTTTGTGACATTTGTTACCAGATTCCAGATCACCCTTCAGAAGGTGGCAGGGCAGCTCTCACTCATTTCTGTCCCTGCAGATGTCCGCACACAGGCCATGTATCAGATGATGGACCAGGGCTTTGTAGGGCTGATCTTTTCCTGCTTCATTGAGGACAAGAACACCAAGGTAGGCAACTTAAAAATGGCAACAAACCCTCCAGGGGCTCATGAGAAACATCAGGGCAGAGCTGAAGTGCTTGGGTGCAGCTTGCAAGGGCAGAGCTGTGCTGTGAGCACATGGAAAGCACGGTGGGAGTGGTTTGTATTGGATCTCTAGGGCAGGAGAACAAGTGATGACTGCTCTGAGCTGCCCAGGGGGGCTGCAGCAGCAGCTGCAGTGTGCTCTGAAATGGGCCAGGGCTCTTCCCTCAAGTGTCCACCACAACAGCTCTGCCCCTCTTCCAGCCTCTCCAGGAGGTGTGGCTGGCATGTGTGATAAGATGACAGTCAGGTCTAGGCTGTCCAGGCAGCTGCTGCTTAGGAGTTTTTTCACCATTAAAGGGTTTATCAATGTATGCTTTAAGCACCTCCAGCAAGCAAATCACAGCAAAACATCTGGAATTCTATTGAAAGCTTCCTAAAGGAATGTGTCTTTGCCCTTTAGATGTTTTTTGCCTTTGGAATCTGACTTTCTGCTGTCTCTCTTAGACAGGCAGAATTCTCTATACCTGTTTCCAGTCTGTTCAGGCCCAGAAGAGCTCAGAGTGAGTACAGAATATTATGTCTGATTGTATTTTGTCTTGTCTCCTTTCTCTGGGTTGTCTCTAATAAGTGGCTTCTCAGCCTGTTGTGAGGAGCAAATGTACAGAGATGCCTGCACAGAGTCTCCTGATTTCTGCTCCTGCAGGCTGCTGGAAGAGAATCTAAAGATTCGGAGTGATTCTTTTATGCTAGATAATTTATTCACTTAAGATTTGAGGTTAGGGTGTGGATTTGTGCTGCAATTCATTGTGTAGCACCACCTTTTTGCTTCCAGCTCTAGAGTTTGAGCCTGGGGCCACAGGGCCTGGACACGAGTGCCAGCCCTTTTCCATGGGAAACAGAACTCACCAGCCCAGGTTCCTGGTGTCACTTGGCAGGAGGTGCTTGGCACTGCCAGGGCTGCCCAAGTTTGAGGTGGGGACAGCTTGGGTCTGGGACACATCCTGCGCCCTTCGGAATTTTAGGAGGCAGCCGCCCACTCAGGGCTAGAGGCCTCAGGTTTGCACCTTACAATTCAAACTCAAACTCAAGACAAGTATGTGGATATAAAATGCTTCCCTTTGCCTGTCAGCTCCAGCATATTTCCCAAAAGTGGATGTGCAGCACTGCCAGGCCTTGGACGGACTGCTGCAAGGTTGTAGGAGTCGGTTTTTTGTTTGCTGCTTTTAATTACATCTCATAACCTTCCAGATATGAAAGGATTGAAATTCCCATTCATGTTGTCCCCCATGAAACCATTGGGAAGGTCTGTCTGGAGTCAGCCGTGGAGCTGCCCAAGATCCTTTGCCAAGAAGAACAGGATGCCTACAGGAGAATTCACAGGTAACAGCCTTGGGGCTCTGCCCCTCTCCAAGGCTTTTTTGCTGGCACCTTCTACTGTTGCTGTTACTAAGATTACCAAAGCTTAGCAAAGATGTAGAAATTAAGAAGGATTAGCAGTTCCTGTGCTTCTGTAGAACTTACTGAAGTCTGTAGAACTGAGCCTGGGGTTAGCAGCAGAATTTTGGGGTTTTGTGATCACGGGTTGTGTTATCCTTGTGAATGTGCAGGGCTTCAGCAGGTGAAGAGGTTTAGGTGTTCCTGTGGTCTGGTTAGTGATTTGTGGGCAGCTGGTTTTACAGCCTGTGTTTAATACACAATTCCCTGCTGTCTTGTCTCTAACCTGGTTTCTTTTCCTTCCCTTAGCCTCACCCATCTTGACTCTGTAACCAAGATCCATAATGGCTCAGGTAAGGATTCCTTTCTTGCACGTGACAATCCAGGGTGCTGCTCCCAGAATCAAAATGATGGAATCTTGTTACACAGGAACATAATTATAACTAGGAACCTAAAATAAAAGACTTCAAAGGCTGTAAAACACGTTAATCCTGGGTGAAACATGAATGTTGTATCCTTCAGGCTTTGTAGAATTGGTTAAAATTACTGAGGACTTTGGGATTGTTTGGGGGCTTAGGGCTTGGTTTGTTTAGGTTATTTTTTCTGTTGGAACAGGAAAGGGGATTTGGAATTTGTTAAGTGTTAAAGCAGTGTCTTGTTGCATTGCACTAAAGTTTATTTAGTTGTTGTTCCGCACTGGGTTTTGTATTTTGCACTGAACAGTATGTTTGTATTTCCCTCCCCTCCAAGCCCCATTGGTGGTGGTTTCTCCCTGGTCCATTCCTCTCCTCCCCTCCCCCCCTCCTCACTTGTATCCCATTGGCTGTGGCCCCTCTCCCCCACCTCCCTTCCCCTGGGTTTAAAATCTCCCCCAGTGAGACCCTCGACCTCTTTTCCTCTCTTTGCCTCCCTTGGATGTCCCTGGAGTGGTTCCACAATAAAGTGGGACTCTGGTCCCAAGAGGAAAGAGTGCCTCCAGTCTTTTATTTTTGTCCTTGTGAGACTGAGAGGGGCTGGGGGTCCAGAGCTAGCTGGATCAGACCCCACAGGCCCCGGGATCAATCCTACAGTGGCTGGCTGACCTGTATGCATACTTCCATCTCCTGGCACGTTATGGGTGTTACATGGGTGTGACATCTTTCCTTTTGCCAGTGATGGGTGATGGGGTGAATCCTAATCCCATTTCTGTTCCAAGTTTATCACCCCATTGTTCATTCTCACACCTTTAGGAAATGAGGCATTCTGTGATGCTTCTAAATTTAGAAATTAATTAGCATCAGTGATTAGCTGTATGCAGACTTTCATTGCAGAACTGTCATCCCTGCCTAGGTGACACTGAAATGGTGTTTGCCTGTTAGAAGCTGCTGGTTCGGACCTTCCTGTGTGGTTGCCATGGCCAGGATGCTGGAGGGTTTCCTTGGCTGGCTGTTGGCTTTGGGGGTGTTGTAGAACACCGAGTCTTGTGTGTGTTGTCCTGGCATGATGTGTTGTTGCTCTTTGCAGTGTTCACAAAGAACCTCTGCAGCCAAATGTCTGCCATCAGTGGGCCCCTGCTGCAGTGGCTTGAGGACAGACTGGAGCAGAACAAACAGCGCCTGCAGGAGCTGCAGCAGGAGAAGGAGCAGCTGCTGGAGGAACTTGCTGCTTTAGAGTGAGAAGGAAATGCAGACCCTTCAGGAAAGTGACATGAAAAAGGCTTCAAAACTACTCCAGGCTGAAGGGTGGCCCTACATTGCCTCAGTAGAGGTACTGGCTGTGCCTCTTCTCTTGCAGCAAAGAGCACAGCTCCAGGATCAGGACTTTACCTGCTCCAGCTTGGTGCAAAGCAATGCTGTGTCTGCAGTTGCTGCACTTCTGGCTCAGTGGTGGGGCTGGGCAGCACCTGAAGACTCCTGTTCTGGAGAGCACACACCTAGGGAACCTGCTGTTTCTCCCTCTATGTTCTGACAGAAGTCCTACTGCTTTATATGTATTCCAGGAACATGAGGGTTACAGGGGAAAAGTGTGTCCCTGCTGTCATACCGATGCTGCCACCTTCTGCCTTCTCTTAGTAGCTTCAGTTGACTGTGATCTTATACCTAGTAATGTTCTGGATCACTGGTCATTCATCCAGGCAGGTGAGAGGTGGGAGGGAAGCTTGGGAACAGACCTGGAAGATCTTTGACGTAAGATCTGTGTTAGCATATGTCAAACCAAATAAAGAATTCCAAAGCTAGAGATGTTGGGAGTAAAAATTAAATGAATGCTACCAAGTGCCAGTGTCTGCATTTTTTGGTCAGTCTGTATTCTCTTACTCCATGTAATGCTGGTGTGTGCCCAGCACTGAGGTTCTCTAGAAGATGAACTGTTTCTGCTGGCTCAGTGAGAGGACTGTGGTTCCTTCCCAGAGGGAAGAAGGTTAAGATGCTAGGCAGAGGACTCATAGATATACTAGTCTGACATTCTTCCATGCTGAACTTAACTGCAGAAGTTTTCCACGACTGGAATGAAATTGCTGTTGTTGAATTAATCCCTGTAAATGTTTTTGCTGTTCATTTCACAGTATCCCCCATCATGTACATCCTCCTCTGTGTTCTGTCTTGTGAGCAAAGGATGGGACAGTTACAGTGACAGAGCTGAAGAAGAGGCACTCCCTGCCAGTGACAGCCAGTATTGATTAGCAGTTGTAAAGTGCTGTCAGATGTGGAAGCCCCATAACCCCATTGCTTTGTCAGACTTGACTTTTCACTCTTTCTACGTTTCTACTGGCAAATGCCCTAAGAGTAGAACTTCTTGAAGTATATTGCTCACTACTGTTTTCTTTTTCCTTAGAAGTGCTGTGAATAATCAGTAATTAATCAGTCTTTGAACAGTCAGTGATTTGTACTGTTGTTTTTGCTGTTGGTTTCTAGTTCCAATGCTCTTTACCTTCATCGTTGCTGGAGAAGGGCAGGTGGTGTGCCAGTGGCCCCAGGCTTCATGAGGGCTCTTGGGAGATAACTCAGCAGCCCTGGGCTTCTTGGAATGGGGATCCTTGGATTGTAATCCCAGTGACAAAAGGATGGTAATGACTGTGCTGATCCACAGCCAGGAGAGCTGGGCTGGTTACCAGGGTTCTGTATTCCTGCACAGCCGTGATTAAACTGAAACAAAGGAGCCTGGTTCATTGCAAGAGTTTGTATCAAACTGGCATTTATTGATTATCAAAATTATTAAGCCCCTGAGCAATTTGCTTACAGAAGACACAAACACTATTAACACTCATTCGGTTGCTTTTTATATGAAAGACTTAAACCATGACAAGACCTTCTTATTCTTGGGGAAAGTGTTTGAATCTGCTTTCCCCAACCTGATCTTCTGCATGTATTTTAGTTTCTATGAAATCTCAGTGATAGAAGTACACTATTTACTGAGGGCTAAAGGGCTTTGGAGAAATTAATTTAAGGCATCATCTACCTACCATGAACCCATGTTGAAGCCCAACTCGGGTATATGCCCCTTTTCCTGCCTTGGAGTCATTCAGAGTCAGAGGACTTGGACTGGTGGGCCTGGACTATCTTGCCTCTGGCAATCCCAGCCCGATGCACACAGAGCAGTTCTTCAGCACACACACAGAGTCTACAGCTTAACAGCTGCCCAGATGAAACAGTAAATCCCTTACTCACTGGAGTCACTGAAGACATGCTATGTGTAAGTGCTGCCCAGAACTTTTACTACTCTGTATACAAAATCAAGTGGCACCAAGAAAAGAGGCATATTGAGATTAAAAGGAATCTTCCAGCTTGGTTTTCAAAGCAAAATCAGCACTGAGTTTCTTCATGACCTCTGCATGACTCAGCCCGTGCTGCTCTCTCTTAGCAAGTGCATAGTTTTCCTTCACATACTTGGCAAAGGGCGTGAGCTGTGTCCTGGCAGGGGTGCCCCTCCTGCCCGCGGGCTGCCGCAGGCTCAGCTGCCCCCCGCAGAAGGCGCACACGAACCGCGCCGTGTCCAGCGACTGCGAGTGCCGCCCGATCCTGAAAGGCAAAACGAGCACTTGGATTCCACAAGACTCGTGGGAAAGGGCCCCTGTCTCTGCTGCTCAGGTCAGATGACTAAGGCAGTATTTTAGAACAATACATTACACAGTGGTACAATCACATCTGTGTTACACTTCTCTACCCTGTGACTTTTTCCACTGCTTTTTCAGCTTGGTTCCTTCCTTTGTCTCTTCTACTCTCAGACTACCAGTATGAAGTGCTACAACATTTCCAAGTCCCTCTACAACCCATGTATCAATGGCCTCTTGGAGTTTCTCCTCAAAGACATGATTAATAAAAAAAAACCTTCTCAATGCTCTGTTGCATCTAAGCAACTACTGCATTGCACAGTCCTAATAAACACTTCAGGATATGTAAGGTGTTTCCTTCTAGTACTTCTGAGAGTCACACATACAATCCTGAGGTTAAAAAAACACAGATAAATGGTGTAATTATTACAGGTTGCGTCCTAGTGTCAATCCTTCCCATCACAGGTGCTGCTCACATCTGTGAGGTTGCAGTTATAATTTAAAGTCATCAGGACTATAAGCTGGAAGCTTCGTCTGGTAGTTTCATCTAATCACTGTCAAATATTCTGTGCCCAGTTTTCAATGAGGATTTGTTCCTTCAAAGCTTAGGTATGTATCTCTTAATGCTTCCCAAAGACCTTCCCTCATCACCACTGGTCCTCAGGTGACGTTTCTGCCTGTCCTGACTTCTGAACTGGAACTGAAACCACCTGGAAACAAATGTGAAATCACATACTGAGGTTCTGTGGGCTCTAGAAAACATCAGAGTAAGAAATTGCTTTACTATTTCAGAGAACCCTGATTTCTAGACACAGGAGGCTGCCAAGTTAGAAAGCTGATATGCAGTCATATGCAAGAAGAAAACATTACTCACGTAGCTTTGCAGCGAACACACTCATAGGTGAATTTGTAATTAATCTCATAGCTGTGGCACCGTGTCACCACCGGCAGTTCTGGATGAATTACAGCTGATTTGTTGGCATAGAACCTCCAGAACCGCCCGTGTCCATCCCGAATGCCGTTGATGAGCCAGGTGGCTGCGTGGCAAACCTCATGGATCAGCGTGTCCCGAAGGCGATCTTGAGGTAAAAGACAAACCTCAGTCAGGTGTGGGGAAGAACAAGCTCACCTTTGGTCACTGCTTTTGGCCTCTGACACTCATTCAGTATTGAGATTCAAGTATTATTTTGAAGGTTAAAACCACCAATGTCTTGGTAAGATAAAATGCTCCAAAACAAGGTTTTACTTAGTGCTTTTCCAGTTTTTCATCAGCCCCAATTCTGCATCCTCATTACTCCCCCATACACCTAATCTGCTTGGGGTTTTTTGTTTGGTTGCTAAAGCTGCCCCACCCCTGGAAGTATTTAAGGCCAGGCTGGGCAGGGCTTGGAGAAACCTGTTATAGTGGAAGGTGTCCTTGCCCATGGCAGGGAGTTGGTACAAGATGGTTTTTAAGATCCCTTTCCATCCAAACCATTTTGTGATTCATTTTCCCATATTGAGAGGGGATGAGGGAGAAATAACAATCACAGCACCACATAACAGAACTTAATTTGGCACTGATCTGTCTTTATTCCAGCTTTAAATACTACCAACAAGGTGTCTTGCTGTGATGGAAGAAGTCAGATTTTAGACTGCCATTATACCACAGAATTAAGAGTCTAACACCTAGCCTGTAGGTCTTCAAATCATTAAGAAATAAAAACAATACTGGAGGTAGTGTGACTCCATCTGTTCTCACATTTTGTACATTTGCCCAGCCTCTTAAAAGGGCTGTGGAATGTGGATAAATCCATACATGTATTTATTTATACAAGATAATATAAAATTTCAAAGCAGGCTCCAGTTCCAGATCTCTTAAGCATCAGATTTATGCTTTTATCTCTAAAACTTGCTTCCTCAAAGAATCAACACACTCTTTCTTAGACCTACCTGCAGAGTCACAGACTTTCTCAGAGAGTTCAATGCGAGCGTAACGCTTCCCTTCAGGGCCTTCCCTCTGCCCCGTTACACAGTACCCCGCAGTTTTTCTCATTTTCTTATTCCAGATTATCACCATGTTCTCTGGTAGCTGAAAAACAAAATAGTGCATGTCATTTCCCCTCTCCTACCTCTTCTCTTACCTTCTGGCCCTCTGGCTCCCCCTTGTATTTAGTGCAAAGCCAGCCCAGGATGTTTCTGTTACGTGCCCTTAACACTTAAGACGCCAACTCCCCTTCATGGCCTCTTATTCCCACCATCAGTTTTTCTGCAACCAACAATGGGAGTTTCACAATGCAGGGTGAGACAGAAGTCCCTAGTTCCTTCTATTTTACCTCCAAGTACAGGGCTGAAGCACTGAGCACTAAGATATTCTGCTCCAGCAATAATGAGTCTGTTCAGCTCAGTTTTATGTGAAATCATGACCTCAGCCTGTCAGCTCATCACTATTTTATCATCTGCATAAAAACCACTTTCCTCACTTTCCTTTCTGGGGGAAATCCCATTGGAATTACTGAGAGCAGTACCCTTCCTTTCAAGGACATTTCTCTCCAGAGGGGAGTCCCCAGTATACCAGATGATGATCCCAGGTCAAGACAGCAGTCCTCTGCAAGTGGACTTTAAATTTGAAACACAGCTTGTAGCTTTATGCTCACCCTAAACCACCTTTTTAATCTGTTCCAGAAAGGCAGACATGAACATCCAATAGGAAGGAACACAGATTACGTGCAGCATTTCCACTACAGCTGGGAAAGCAAAGCCAAGCTGAAAACTGCTGCATCATGGTGGTGACAAACCCCTTCAGAAAAAATTGCGTGGACTAATCGAAACATAACCCATTGCTGTAACTCTTAACTTCTGCAACCTGAAGAGGATAAAGAGCAATCACATCAGAAAGTGAGGAGCAACATATTAACCAGCATTTTAAATGGTAGTTCTTGTTTTGAAACCAACCTTCTGCTCAAAGATAGTACTATTAAACAGCGTGTAGAGCTTCTGGGCCAGCTCCTCTTTATTTTTCTTGAAATACTTCACATAGTGGGAGGCTGGATTTGAAAGATCTTGCAAGAAACAGCCAGGCACTGAACATACCCTGAGCCTGCAAGAAAAGCCATTAAGCAGTTTGCTAAAGTACAGAGATATGGAAAAACAAAGGGAAAAGTAATGGGCACTTGAAAGCCAATAAAGATCTCAGGGATGCTTCAAGTGGCATAAACCTCTCCTCACTCTTTCCACCAGCCTGCCCTCACGAGGCCCATGGTTGTCCTCTTACCCCTCTGAGGGCATGAAGGGCCAGAGCTGTTGCAACAGTCCTGCAGTTATTTCATTAATTCACAAAATTAGATTATGAGGACTCCTAAGTAGGAAAAGAGACTCAGATTTTGCGACACAGCGAGCCACAACTACACCAAAATTTAATCAATATATTAACCGCTCTAACATGATCATCACAATAAAGGTATGTTTTCAGGAACAGAGAAAGACAGTCCAGGAATGCTCAGGGATTACTTCAGGAGAAGCAGATACTTCACCAGGATTACTACAGGAATGCTCAGGGATTACTTCAGGAGAAGCAGATACTTCACTAGGATTACTAACTCCAATGCTGCAGGCATTGTGACTTTTTAAAGTCTCACCTTTAAAGATATCATTTAAAGGTTTGGTATTGTATACACCACAAAAAATGATTAAAGGAAACAGCACATGGCTAGGAGGCATAATAAGGGCAGCTATTAGAAATGAAAAATGCATTATTTTGAAAAGCCAAAGCTGCATCCACTTATAGAAAAAGAAACATGAATTCTCAAAGTTATAAGGATACAGATTTAAAAAAAATCAATACACTCTTGTTTAAAAGGCATGAATTACTAATAGAATCAGTTTTGATAGCTTTTCAGAGGTAAGCAGCTGGATATATATAATCTGTAGAGCCACCACATGCTGTAAAAGACAAGGAATAGCAAGAGAGGTAACATTTACAAAGAAGATTTGGCATTTGTCAGATTTGTCATCAATTCCCCATGGCAGAGATCATGTACATCCTCCCTGTCATACTGGAGACTGAAAATTCTGGTTTCCAGCTACTCAACTATGAACAAATGCTAAATTAGTAGAAGTTCTAGGTAGCAGAGGAATCACATTATCCTATGCAAAATGATTAGCATCTCTTTGTCCATCTGTAATTGTCCTAGAACAATGAAGAAACACTCACATTTTCTCTGTCTTTGCTGACTGTGAGCAACTGACTGAGTCATTCCCAGGAATTCTTGCAGGAGTCGTTATCATGGAAGGTGTTTCTTGAAGTGAAATGGATTTTGGCTTTCGTGTTTTGACTCCCTCCCCTTTCACGGGCTGTGCATCTTTGCAGGGTGGCTTGATGTTTTCTAGTCCCAACAGAAGAGTCATAGGATTACACAGCACACATTAAAAAAAGAAATCACAGAATCATTAGAAACCACCAGAAGGATCCACCAGATTTGCTTTCAGAATAATTTTAAAAACAGAAAGTACCTACAATGATAAAAACAAGCAATACTGAAAAATTTACATCTTGATAGCACAAGTTGACTTTTCTGAATGCTCAGAGGAGTAATTTTTGATTGCACCAAAATCCTTTGCAAGGTGCTGGGCTGCACCTCAGAGGCTGATGCCACACAAGTGGAAAGAACCAGGCAATTACCACTGCAAGTTAGCTCAGGACTGCTCACCTGTTGTGCTTGGCTGAAAGATAGTTCTACTTGTGCTTAAGACTGGTTTACGGGGTAGACTTCGCTTCTTTATCCGTTCCATTAAAGATCCAAAACTGTCATCTGAGCTCTCTGATTCCACCCCTGCACCATGTCCTAGTGCCACAGTTGGCAATTTATTTTCTGTATTTTCACAGCTTCTTCCTTTCCTTCTAACAAGCAAATCTAGACTGCCTTTGGAAACTGAGTCTTTCTGGTTTTGTGGAGGTGAAGGATTTATGCACTTCGGACTCTCTTTCAAGTCTTTCACTCCATCTTTTTGGAGGTTATGCCATGGACTGTCTACAAAGACAGAATCTTCAGTGTCACTTGAAGAGTCTGGATACTGCAATTCTTGGCAGCAAGTGTTTCTCTTTCCAGGAGTCATCAGCTTTTTTGAGGTCTGAAGATCTTTCTGTGCTGCAATTTAAAAGAAAGAGCCTGAAGTTTTGGAAGTTGCATTTAGGAGACGGGCCTTTGTCTTAACACAGAAGAAATCCCTTGAAAGATAGGAAAACACAAAGAACAGTAAAGCATCTTTTCATTTTTTTAAGTTATAGATGATTGCTTACCACTCTTGGTTGTACTCTTTTTCACCTTCAAGTCCAAGAAGAAATCATCCGAGTCATCAATGAAGTCTTTCAAACTGTAAGGCAAAAAAAGAAGCTAATTTTGTGGAATAAAGGTAGGAGTAAGCAGAAAAACAGAACAGTAAGTGTGCCTTACTAAAACAGCAATCCAAAAAGAGACACCCAATATAACATATCAGCTGCTCACAGCAAATGTCACCAACTGCATCCATGAACAGGAATGGCAAGAACAAGTGCAACTCCAAATATCCCATTTTACATTTGCCCTGAACATAACTGAAGATGTAACAGGTCTGTCTGCACTCTCTCCTAGACTGGCCTATGAATCAATACAATTTTAGATTGTTTTTCTCTATTCTGATTAAATATGTAAAATATAAATATTATACAGAACACTAAAATGTGAACACAGAAAATTCATTAATGACAGCACCCACCTTGCATCTGCCTTTTTAGAAACAGATTTGGGAGTTTTCAGTCTAGCTAAAACTGAAACAAAAAAAGATTAATTAAGAACAAGGTTCTGTATTCTCGTTATGCATTTTTAAGTTTGCAACTAGTAAAAATTTGGTATAAAGTATTAAAAAAAACCCCTAATTATATTCACATATAATTCCAACTCTCAATTCCTCAAAGCTGTCAGCAGCTTTCTAGTCTCTGGAGACTAAAAAGGAAGCAAGTGATAGGGAACAGACAAAACTGAGACAGCAAGAAAAATACAATGCAAGACAAAAAGAGTGAAACTTGAGGCAATTCAAGAACACTCCCTGTGGCACTGAAACCAAGACTGCACTCTGCAAAGAGAGAAATACTGTGCAGCACATGCAATGAAAGAAATGAAGCATATAAAAATGTTTCACTATAATTAGACAGAAATGTGTAATTTTTTTAACTTCTCCATAACAAACTAACGTGTCATTACTTACACGTCTCAAATTCGTCATCGCTGCTGGAAGAGCAGTACAAGGCACTGCTGCAAAAATGAAATGCAGAAGTTTAGGTCACAGCAGGATCTGCACCTCCACTGGTCTGAAACACCCGTGAACACTGAGAACCAAATATACATTGGGAAAAACACCTGAAATCCCACACAGGCTGAATTATTTTAACTCTTTATAGAAAGCTTGTTTCTTGTCTTACATGTGGTCTGTGATCAGTCAGAGAAGTGTGTTATAGTAAGCCTGAAACCTCAGCCCCATGCACTGATGAATCAGAGGCTGCTTTTACATAAAATGCACTTTAACAGAGCTGCCACGAATATTTAGGAAAATGCAGCAGCTCTCATACAGTTATTTCAAGAGGCAGGATGGAGGCACTACCACCTGGACTGCTATGCCCATGCAAATGTAGAGACAGCCCACAACACACTTACCAAGTTATTTATTTCGTTTTATGAGAACATGAACCAAACATTAACAACTTCAAAAATATGTTATGCAGCTGCTTAAAAACCAGGAAGCCAGCTTTTGTAAGATGGCTATTACTTAAACCTTGAAGACTGCAATTTTTCAACACACTCATACCTACTAATCACCGTAAACCAAATGATGGTGTAATCTCAAATTATAAATCAATATTTATAATACATACTACATGCAATGTAGTATGTTGTATTTATATATACACACACACATTGTATGTGTGTATATATATATGTATATATATGCGTGAAAAATGCCTATTTTATGATTGGCTTTTTGCAATTGTTACAATGAATATTATGTGTGTAATGTTAGAAAGATATGCTGTATTAATTCTCTTAAGTAGTATGTTAAATACAGTTTTAGGTTACAACATAATGTTAAAATAGAAACTGCAATGTAGGATTTATTACAAGCTCAAGTGAGAAGATGAGATAATCAAGAGCCCATAAAGAGTTACTGCCTCTATCAGAAAAGACAAACATTCTTCCACCTTCTCTCCGTCCTTATGGAACCATCGGGATTAAGGAGAAGTTGACAAAAACCAGAAAAGTTCTTAATTTGCAAGGAATTAATGCATCATGTATAAGATATATGAATATGCAACAGGCTATTGCTTTTAAGGTTATTCCTTTGTTCACAAGGCATGTTTTTTGTGACTTAGTGTCCGAGAGCATCCCGACGTCCGTAATTCTTTGCTTTATATTGTCTTGTAATTGCCATAACTCTAAATTTTATTACTCTAATTGTATTAATATTTTATAACCATTTTAATATTAAACTTTTAAAATTTTAAAACCCAAGTGATTGGCGTTTTCCACATATGTACACACACATATATATGTATACACACACATATATAAACAGCTATACATTTCAAAACTCTCTATGTCAATAATGTAATAAAAATAAGTCAGGACACAGGGCTCGGGCGCTGTTTCCTCGGCGTCCCCTCACCTGCCGCTCGGCCAGCCCTTGCTGCCCCCGGCGCCTGTGCCGGGGCTCCTGCGGCCCGAGGCCGAGGCCCCGCTCGGAGTCGCGGCCGCGCCGCCCGCCCGGTGCGGCCATTCCCGTTCGGGCCGTTCCCGTTCCGGCCATTCCCGTTCCGGCCATTCCCGTTCCGGCCGTTCCCGTTCGGGCCGTTCCCGTTCCGGCCGTTCCCGTTCGGGCCGTTCCCGTTCGGGCCGTTCCCGTTCCGGCCGTTCCCGTTCGGGCCGTTCCCGTTCGGGCCGTTCCCGTTCTGGCCGTTCCCGTTCGGGCCGTTCCCGTTCGGGCCGTTCCCGGTGCCGCCGTTCTGAGGCCGGGCCGGGCCCGGTTCCGAGCGCGCGGCCGCCGCGCGCCGTTCCCGCCATGGCGCTCGAGGGGCCCGCGCGATTCCGCAGCCGCGCATGCGCACACCCACAGCGCGGCACCGCAATGCCGATAACCGCCATCGCTGCCCACAGCGCCACAGCACGTACGGGAAGAGTAAAGTTTTCTTTCCGACAGCAGCACAAAACGTGACACACCGGTAAAATCAGTCAAACTGGCAAACCAAAGCTTTTATTTTTTTTTTTTTTTAAGTCTTCGCTACAGTACCTAGGACTGCACCCCTATACATAATTAACAATCATTCCTGAAAGATGTGTATTTGGCACCAGTTTGTGTTCACCTCAAACACTTGTGGGAAGGATTAATTTCAAATCAATTTTGGTTTTTTAACAGAATAGGAGCTGCCATCATTAAGCCAATTAGCTGAGTTATTGGAGAAGCTTAGAAAACAAAACAAAACAAAAAACCAAATGTTCTTATCTTAACCAACACATTACAGAGAGAGCTCCAAAACAGAGGTCAAACATTAAAAGGCTGATATAGGCTCAAGTGGTTTATAAAACCTATAAAAAAAGACTACACCAGCACATACGCCCTTTCAGTCCACGCGGTTTAGAAATTAACACAGGGAGCAACTCGCTAGCTGGAAATCTTGTCATGGGAGAACCACATATATACCAACAGGAGTACCCAAAATCAAAGGTAAAATGCTCCAATTCCCAATCCACATAAAAGGAGGTTTGTAGGAAGATTAAATCAATCCATGATATCATAAACTGGTTGGGCAGTTCAAACTTCCCCCAGCAATCACTTTGTCACTCATACACACAGGCTCACATGTACACAGCTCAATCCCACTCAAATTCCTCATGGAATAAAAGGATCCCAGGCTCTATTGAGTCTTTCCCTATCATGCAAGAAATAGGTCTGGCTGTGCTTTAATCACCATCATGTATTACTTCAGCCACAGAGTACCAGGCAGATTAAGTAGAAATGCACAGTTTTTAGCTCATCATCTCTGCACAAGTGTTGGAGAGGCTCAGCTCCTGGAGAGTTCCTGTGGGCACAGCCAGTCTCTCTTCATGCAGACTCGCTGGCCTCCACGGGTTTGATCATGTGGTCCGGTTTGTTGCCCGCAGCGCAGTGATCCCACATCTGGAGGTACAGCCGCTCCAGGTCCATCGTGTACTGCTTCGTGTTGAACAAAGGGCTGGATATTCTCTGCTTCCAGACTTTGCCACGGATTTTTTTCAGGCTACAAAAGAGAGTTAAAGCAGTCATGAGATGTTTCAAATACCACATCACACTGTTTACCTTTGAAACCTGCTGTTTTCAGCTAACCCAGAACTGCCTGTATAACTGTTCCAAAAACACCTGCTCCCCCACCTCCACCAAATTCCTGTTCTAGCTCCTCTCATTTCTGATACAGACCAGAATGACCACTTCAAATCAGAAGAGCTGCAACATTAACTTGCTGCATTATCTGTAGTGCAGTAACACTTCACAGCATTATTTTAATTTGAATTGACAAACTGCTTAATCTTCCATTTAAAAAGAACAAAATGTGAAGTGTATTGCACTTTTGCACATAAAGAGTTTCTTCAGAATTGCTACTTAACTGGGAGTGCCGTTTAGTTACCACAAAAGCAGAAGCCGATTCAACTGCAACACAAGACACTTCTAGAAGAGGATTGCCCAGCTATTTTACATATAAAATATCTGCAGGATTAGAAATACTTATGTCTCAGCACTGTGCCCAGATACAGTACTCTACATTCTTGATGTTACCACAATAAAGTCCAAGTTTGCTTACTATTCCAGGTCAGTTCCCAGTTTCACAGCAATATCCTCATACTCCTGTCTGCTTTTTGCAATGAGCTCAAGACAACCCAGGCAAGTGAGCTGTGAGGCAGCAACTCGTGAGGCAAGAGTCTCACCTGAAGAAAATAAAAGGCAAATCAAAACCAACAAAAACAACCAGGAATTAGTTTATCAAGTAACTTATCACACACTAGGAGTTACTTTCCTTCTGCCTCTACAAAAGGCACAGTTTGATGTGTTTGCTGTTACTAAAAAATTACTAACATTCCAACCCAAGTATTCAAGGTAGGTTCCCCACTGCACTACCTGGCATAGTGACCATTGGAGTCCCAGCCCAGAGCACATCCATGCCAGTTGTGTGCCCATTGCAAAGGGGAGTGTCCAGACAAACATCAGCCAACTGCCCTCTCCTCACATGCTCTTCTTTGGGGGCAACAGGTGAAAAGATGATTCGGTTTTGGGCAAGACCCAAGTTTTGTGCGTACTGCTGGATATTGGGCTCTCCTACAGCTGGGAAACGTAGCAGCCACAGCACACTGTTGGGAACTCTTTTTAAGATCTGTAACAAAAATGAAAATACAGCAAGTTCAGAGAGGAACATTAAGTTTTCTAAACAATAAATTGCCACATCCTAAAATGAAGTGGAAGGCATCATCATTCAGTAGTTTGAGGTATAGAGCAGAAATTAAAGAGATCATCATTATGAATGAGATCACTGGGATTGCATTTCTAATCCCACTGAAAGAGACAGCAATTCTGAGCAACAGTGTACAAAACAGTTCCTTAAGAGAGTAAATATTGAAATTTATAATCTCATTTATGTATAGGCCCATACTATGGAATATAAAAAAAAAAATTACCCCCTAGTAGCTCTAAGCAATACACTGTAACCTAGAACCTGATAAAAATGCTCTCCACTCAGATTTATCAATGTACCAACTGCCAAGCCAGTTATAAATCAATTGCAGAGACTAAGGAAATTCAAAATTATTTCACAATGGAGAACCAACATACTTAAGCCGTCCCAAACATAAATTTTCACTGGCTAGATACACAGATATAATTTGAAATACATCTAAAACCCTCTATATGCTACTAACACTAAGCTCTGCAACATGAGCACTGTAAGGATTCAAATGGCTCAAGGTCAATGTTTTCCACAGAGAAGTTAACTTGCATGAATTTCTGCTAACCTGAACAGCTTTGCGAGAAGTCTGACCTTAGATTTCCTACTAGATAGAGATACTTACATTAGCCCACATCTGCAAGGTGGAAGGATCAATCTTATAGAGCTGATTGAAGTTACAGTACACAACAGCATCCTCTGGTAAGCCATATTGAGAACGGGTAGTAACAATTATAGTCCGTGGAACTTCTTCACCAGTTGCTGCTTTGTTGTTTATCTAAAAGAAAAAGAAAAAAAAGCTATTGAAACACTGAAACTGCAGGAAACAAGACTATGCACTGTAGAACTGCCCTGAGACACACTTGTTCGCATAACAAATTACTGTAAGCATATCTTTGATTTTATGATACAAAACAAAATTGTCTACTTACCCACAGCAATTTAACTGGTATGTGTACACGCTTGTGGATGCACAATGTTGCAACCACCAAGGCAAAAAACACTGGGCATTTTCATGCCCTTCCTATATCTCCCCGAAATTGCAAGTAACTGGAATAATTGGAAAGAAGAATCATATAAAGAGGCATTACACATGGAATCCTATCCTCCCTAAGGTCACGCAATTTCCTTGAGACCAAAAATTAAATTAAAACTGAAAGACAGAATAAAAAGGTATTTAGAAAGCAAAGGTGGGGTTTGGTTTGTTTGGATTTTTGTGGTTTATTTTTGGGTGGTTTTTTTGTGGGTTTTTTTGGGTTTTTTTAAGATAGAACACAGTAAGGACAGAACAGATAATCAATAGATGCAGACTCATATGTAACTGATAAGACTGTAAGACCAATTGACAGGGAAAATAATGAAAATACTGAAAATCAGAAGAGTTAATAACAAACTTTTTAAAAAAAGAGAAATTACAGCCTTCACAAAGAATTGGAATATGCTAATAAAAAGCAGCAGAGGATGAAGTTGGAATAATCAAGTTACCATGCAAGAGTCTTGAGGATTAGTAAAATGGAAGCAGGACTTTAGATTTTTTTAATGACATGCAATGACGAAATCAAAACCAGATACACAGAAAGGGCAACACAGCTACTTAGAGCCTTTTTCATTATATATATGTATTTTTATATACATATGTATTTAAAATTCAGACAGCGGCATTGCAGCCAGCCACTGATGACACACGTGATGTGAACAACAATCACTCACTGTCACTGACTGTTAGAATATGCACAACAGCTCAACAGAAGCTGGTAAATATGCTACTTATTCAGGTCACTGAGACCCCAAAAAACACAATGCTCAGTTCTTGTTGACCTATGCCCAAAAGCAGCTGATCTCAGCACAAAGAAGTGCTATATTAATGTCACTGAAAGACAGAAATCCAGCTTTAGAAGTGCACAGACAGAGCTGAGTGTTTCATCCGAGTGGTGGAGTGTTAAGACAAGAATTCTCTATGATTCTCAGATGACAACTTCAGAAAAAATTGCTAACAGCCTTACTGACCAAACTAAGACAAACTATTACCAACTCAAAGAAAAGTCTCAGTTGTGGAGAAAAGAACTCACACCAAGGTATGAGATTACTAACAGAGCAGTGGTAATAAAAGGTATCAAAATGATGTAAAAAGAGGTTCCCGAGGGACTGTAAACTGAATAAAATTCACAAGATAACAAGTTATGCTAATGTTAGAATATGGCATTTCTAAAAGGGAAAACTGTTCTGCAGTGGAAGAAGAGTTAAACAACACCAGTAATTGTCACTAAAATCCCATGAACTGTTAAACAATGAGAGGTGGTAATATAGTGCAAAATTCTGAAATATATAAGAAGATGAATTAATGTTGTTGAAATACAGTGGAATAATTTTGCCTCTATTCTATTACTCAGCAATTTTTTTTTCTAACAGCAAAACACAACTGACACTGAGTAACAGGTCACAAATCTTGGCAGGCTGCAGGCAATAAGGAAATCTTGCCTTCAAATTCAGAACAAGCAAATATCTTCTTTATGCAATAAAAAATTATTTCTTTGGACTTTAGATACCTCTAGATACAAGTCCTCTATCTCTGGGGGGGAAGGTCATCTTCCAGTACATCTGTAGCTTATAATGAGCTTCCTTCAGTATGAAAACTAAAGGAATCAACGTGACAGAAAACACATTTGCTTGGAGGTTCTT